TTTTACTTTTTGGCCTAAAAGCAAAAACGCTATGTGTGGCATAAAACTGAACACTGCACATCACCATGAACACACCATCCGCACCGTGAAACATGGTGGTGGCAGCATGCTTTTCTGCAGCAGGGACAGGGAAGCTGGTCAGAGTTGATAGGAAGATGGATTGAGGCAAATACATGGCAATCTTAGAAGAAAATCTGTTAGAGTCGCAAAAGACTTGAGACTGGGGCGGAGGTTCACCTTCCAGCAGGACAGTGACCCTAAACATGCAGCCAGAGCTACAATGGAATGGTTTAGATCAAAATATAGAAGGGCCAAGTCAAAGCCTAGACCTAAATCCAATTGAGAATCTGTGGCAACACTTGAAAATTGCTGTTCACAGAAGCTCTCCATCCAATCTGACAGAGCTTGAGCTATTTTGCAAAGAAGAATAATGGGCAAAAATATCACTCTCTAGATGTGCAGAGCTGGTAGAGACATCCCCAAAAAGACTTGCAGCTGTAATTGCAGCAAAAGGTGGTTCTACAAAGTATTGACTCGGTGGGCTGAATACAAATGCACGCCACACTTTTCAGATATTTGTAAAAAAAGTTGAAAACCATTTATCATTTTCCTTCCATTTCACAATTATGTGCCACTTGTTGTGTTGGTCTATCACACAAAAATCCCAATAAAACTAATTTACGTTTTTTGTTGTAACATGACAAAATGTGGAAAATTTCCATTGGGTATGAATACTTTTTCAAGGCACTGTAGGTATGGATAACAACTCCACATTTCTGCTAAGGTTTTTTTTCCTCTAATAATTTCTATATTAGTAAAATACTTTGTCTGAAGTTGTCCTAAGTGGCTACTAACGCAAATGCTGAAAAGTCAGAGAGGGTGGGAATTTCCTGTTACCGGAACCCAGTGCAGTTAGACGTTTTTCTGTTAACAAAATGTATATTCCTTCTCACATTAATAAAAGTGCTGCAAGTGAAAAAATGAGTCGAGACTTTCCAGACCTGTGTTTGTCCAGTTCATTTTACTCTAATGAAATCAGTTAAATTTGAGCTCTGAGATAAGAAAATAATGTTGAAATACAAGTGTATCCTTCCTTGAATCTTGGTGTGCGTTGTGTAATTCTTCCAGATCTGTGCAGTAATTCACTGTGAAGCTTCACCTCTGCAGGAACTTCCTGTAATAAAGACCGGTCACTGCTACTCTCTTACCTTGTGTAGGGTGACTGGACTTGTATCCACTTCTGGTTGGTGAGACCTGCTGAGTCCCTCCCACAGCTCTGCTGTCTGGACAGGTGATATACAACCCAGTGATATGAGGTTGCAAAGGCATTTGTTGCACACAAAGTGGATTTATATCATTTGTGGCTACTGAATAAATATTCTTTGTGTCTGGAGTTCAATTTTAAAGTATATGTACAGTTGCAAGAAAAAGTATGTGAACCCCTTGGGATTACGTGGAGTTTTGGCATGAATTGGGCATAAAATGTGCTGAACGTCATCTAAGTCACAACAATAGAAGAACACAGTCTGCTGAACATAATACTACACAAACATTAGATGTTGCCATGGTTTAATTGCACATAGCATGTAAATATTCACAGTGCAGGGAGGAAAAAGTTGTGAACCTTTGGACTTAATAACTGGTTGACCTCCTTTGGCAGCAATAACCTCAACCAAACGTTTCCTGTAGTTGCAGATCAGACCTGCACAGCGATCTGGAGTAAACCACTCCTCTTCACAAAACTGTTTCAGTGTAGCAAAATGTCTGTTGTGAATCACTCTCTTAAGGTCATACCACAGCATTTCAATCGGGTTGAGGTCAGGACTCTGACTGGGCCACTCCAGAAGGTGTATTCTGTGCTGTTGCAGCCATTGGTTTGTTGAATTACTTGTATGGGGTCATTGTCCTGTTGCATCACCCATCCTCTGTGGAGCTTCAGTTGGTGGACAGATGGTCGTATTTTCCTGCAAAATGTCTTGATAAACTCTGGAATTCATTTTCCCATCAATGACAACAATCTGTCCAGGCCCTGAGGCAGCAAAGCAGCCCCAAACCATGATGCTCCCTCCGCCATGTTTTACAGTGGGGATGAGGTTTTGATGTTGGTGTGCTGTGCCTTTTTTTCCACACATAGTGTTGTGTGTTCTTCCCAAACAACTCAATCTTGGTTTCATCTGTCCACAGTATATTTTGCCAGTAGAACATCCAGTGCTCTTTTGCAAACTTCAAACGTGCTGCAATATTCTTTTTGGACAGCAATGGCTTCCTCCGTGGTGTCCTCCCATGTACTCCATTCTTGTTTAATTTTTCCTTATTGTAGATGTGTCAACAAAAATGTTAGCATGTCCAGAGATTTCTATAGGTCTTTAGCTGACACTCTGGGATTCTTCTTTACCTCATGCAGCATTCTGCGCTGTGCTCTTGCAGTCATTTTTACAGGACGACCAAGCCTAGGGAGAGTAGCAACAGTGCTAAACTTTCTCCATTTGTAGACAGTCTGTCTTACCGTGGACACATGATATCAAGGCTTTTGGAGATACTTTTGTAAGCCTTTCCAGCTTCATGCAAGTCAACAATTCTTGATCGTAGGTCTTCTATAGCTCTTTTCTGCGAGGCATGGTTCACATCAGACAGTGCTTCTTGAAACCAGTAAACCCAAAACAGGTGTGTGTTTTTTAAGGGCAGGACAGCTGTCAGCAACACATCCAATATCATCACACTGATTGGAGTCAAGGTTGGCTCACTCCTGGCTCCAATTAGCTCTGGGAGAAGTCATTAAGCTAGGGGGCCTCACATACTTTTTCCTCCCTGCACTGTGAATGTTTACATGTTATGTGCAATTAAACCATGGCAACATCTAATGTTTGTGTAGTTTATGTTCAGCAGACTGTGTTCTTCTATTGTTGTGACTAAGATGACGTTCAGAGCACATTTAATGCCCAATTCATGCAAAACTCCACGTAATCCCAAGGGTTCACATACCTTTTCTTGCAACTGTAAATCCTAAAAATAATCTCTTATTTTCTCACTTGTGGTCTGTTAAATATCCTATTGAAAGGTTTATTATCTGTTCAACCAGCAAAAAAAAAAAAAAAAAAGAGAAAAAGTACCTGTTCATCCAGCTAGAAACCTTGTCAGCTGATAACAGTCCATAGGTAGTGATCTCAGGAAGTTATCAGTTAAGCCTCATACACATGATGAGAATATCGGACGAATGATTGTCTGTTTTTTTTTTTTGCATGCTAGTCTCATATCGAAAATGAAGAAGTTACTAAAGTTATGAAAATTCTTATACAGCAGAATAAAAATTTAGAAGTGATGTCATGAATTGCAATCTATTTGTATTGTATTTTCAGTCGAAAACTGTACTGATTAAGTGAAAATCTCACAATCTGGTATTATACGAGAAACATTTTCGTACTTGTCCCCTTCTTATATTTTTGGAGGAAAGCTGTGTACAAAAATCGCTTCAAAAAGGGGTATTTTTTATACGGTTTTCTGTGTACTAGACTTTAGCCATGTTCCCTGTATGCCTGAACTACCAACTACCACTCCTTGTTATGGGGAAGATAGGAAGATGTTAGTAGTCCTAACAGACTCTGTCCTAGGGTGACAACGCTGCTCAGTCTGGTTGTCACCCTTGGACAAGAAGGTGTTAATGGCAGGACTACCAGGTTAAACTCACAAGAAAAAAGTGTGAAAAAAGAAAACTAATTCAGCCACCACATTTAAGGACAGCTAATCTGCAATATTATCAATTTTGTTTTTGAGTGTAGTATTTGGGTATTTAGTGGTTGGGCATTTAATAGCTCAACTTCAGACAGAATTTCAGTTTTGTTTTGGATAGAACAGGGAAGGGTTAGAATTTCTCCTTTTTTAAAGTCAGAACATGATGATGTGATAGGAAATCTCTAAAGGGGGACACCAACATATATTTAGTAGAGTGAAGACTAAAAGTACACAGTTTTAATGTAGCACATTGCTGGAGGTTTCATAGCATGTAGCAGGGACATGCTATCTGACATATCTAAAGTATAGATAGCAGCAGTGGTCGTAGATGTAAAAGAGGGTGAAGATTTAACACATTGCCTGGTGGAAAACAACTTATCACTATTTTGCTTTTGCTGCATGACTCATTTGCAGATTATTTTATTTTAGTGACAAGATTGTTTTAAAAAATAACATTTTCAGAAAGATCAGCAACATCAACCTCCAATATTTTTTTTTAAGGTTTCAATCAATTTTTCTGGCAAAATTTGATTCCATTACATGCAATAGAAAAAAATTAACATTGCAATATTGCCATCTAGTGGATGATACTTACACTGCATCACATTCAACCTGTAAAACATTCGTGAGGGTCATTTGTAGTTGTAGACTGTCTTTAACCATTTGCCCACCAGTGGATTTACCCCCCTTCCTAACCAGGCCATTTTTTGCCATATGGCGCTGCGTTATTTTAACTGACAATTGCACAGTAATGTAATGCTGCACTCAAATTAAATGTATGCTCTTTTTTTCCCCACAAATGGAGCTTTCTTTCAGTGGTATTTGATCACCTGTGCATTTTTTATTTTTTCTGCTATAAAGCAAAAAAAAGCCAAATATTTTGAAAAAAAAACAACAATATTTTCTTATTTTTTGCTATTAAACGTGTCCAGTAAAAAAGTCAAATTTTATCATAAAATGTAGGCCAAAATGTATTCTGCTGTCTTTGCTACAAAAAAAATCCCAATACGTGTAAATTAATTGCTTTAACTGCCTCCCACCCACCATATAGTAATATGACGGATGCAAGGTGGTTCTCTCGTTCTGGCAGGACGTCATGTGACGTCCTCCCATTCTAACCATGCATGCGTGGCTCCCGGAGCGCGGCGATCGGCGGTGCGCTGTGTCCCTCGGACACAGTGGATCACCGATCCACGCAAAGAGCCAAAAATGTCGGCTTGGTCAGGTGATCAGCTGTGTCCAATCACAGCTGATCACATGTAAACAGGGAAATGCCGGTTATCTGCATTTCTCTCTGCACGAGCTGTCACGCTGACAGCTCATGAGGAGAGGAGAGCCGGTAATCGGCATTCCTAAGAGGGGACATGTACACTGATGATCAGTGTGCCCTGATGATCTGTGTAGCCCCAGCAGCGCCACCTGTCAGTGTCCATCAGTGCCAGCTCTTAGTGCTCATCCATGCCACCTGCCAGTGCCCATCAGTGCTACATCAGTGCCCATCTGAGCTGCCTTTCAGTGTCACCCATCAGTTCTGCCAATCAGTGGCACCTATCAGTGCCAGTCAGTGCCACCTGTCAGTGCTGCCTATCAGTGTGCATCAGTGCCCGTGCTGCCTATCAGTGCCGCCTAACAGTGCCAGTCAGTGCTGCCTATCAGTGCCAAATATGAGTGATGCCTATCAATGCCCATCAGCACCACCTACCAGTGCCTCCTCATCAGTGCCACCTATCAGTGTCCATCAGTGCAGCCTCATTAGCGCACATTAGTGAAGGAGAAAAATCACTTATTTACAAAATTTTAGAACAAAAACTAAAAAGTTTTTTTTTCAAAATTTTCAGTGGTTTTTTTGGTTGGTTTGTTTAGGAAAAAAAAAACCCAGAGGTGATTAAATACCACCAAAATAAAGCTCTGTCACAAAAAAAATGATAAAAATGTCATATGGGTACAGTGTTGCATGAGCGCACAATTGTCATTCAAAGTGCAACAGCGCTGAAAGCTGGAAATTGGCCTGGGCAGGAAGGGGGTATAAGTGCTCTGTAGGCTAGTGGTTAAAGATTAAAGTTATACCATTTACAAATGGCAGAATAAACTGGAATTTTATATTTTATTTTTATTAGTAATGGCGGCAATCAGTGACTCATAGGGGGACTGCGGTGGGTATTCTGACACTGGGGGGAGCTGACTTGGTGTCGCTGACATCCCCAGTGACACCAATACAGTGATCAGGGCTAATAAAAAGCACTGACACTGTACTAATGGCACTGGGCAGGAAGGGGTTAACATGTGGGGCTATCAAAAGGTTAACTGTGTGCTGTTTTACTAGGGAGGGTGTGTTTGTCTTTCACTGTAAGCACACTGCTTTGTATGGCTCTGCTGGGCAGAGCCATACAAAGCAGTGTGCAGGAGCTGACAGGGGAGAGATCTGTATTGTTTACATACAGGTCTGTCCCCCGTCGGTAAATATTCAGAGATCGCAGGGTGGTGGGCGGGGGAATCACTGGCCGGGACCCGGTGATTAACAGCTGAGGCCGCCACTGGCTGCACCCCCTACCCAGAAACTGCACACATACACACACACACACACATATACACACGATTTTGCGCACCCGTGCCGCCCTGTAGCATTATTTCTGCTATAGGGCAGCGGGCAAGCGTTTAATGAATATAAACCTGACAATGTCTAGTTAAAGAAGTGTATTCAAAAGTGCATGGAAAAATAGGGGTCGGGAATTCATAAAGTGTGTCTATAACATTCTTTAGAATTCTGACATACCTAAACACACCAAATATGGGTGCGGGTGACAGATATATGTACATGGTGTAGACAAGTACTCGTAACTGGCACATGCACTGAGTGCAGGCACACACTAAGGCTAGATAGTCCCTATGCAAAGTCTTTGCAAAGGTTCACCCAACAACAAGATTGTTCATTTCCTCTTGGGAGTTACAAATAGTATTTGACAGGTTTCTGCATCTCTCATTCCTTCTAGGTCAGACTTCCAGATGATCAGATAGCCAGTAACACTGAAGCAGTATTTCCTATACTGTAGCTATCATGTCCAGGAGGAGGATATCTGATATCTGGGTGCAAGTTTGTACAGTAAACCTCCTTTTTGCTACCATTTGCCAAAGAGGGTAGTTATAAGGTCTCCTCTTCATCCAGAGATCTGAAAATCTTTCCATCTCAGTCAGGACATCGTCCTTCCAGCTTGTCCAAGTGAATGTCTGAATCAACCCAAGCAAAGGACATGGACTTGGGCGTGATGTTGAAGAAATACATGGAGAAGACTTCTCTTCCTTCAAAAGGTCGGGCAATTGGCTCTTCAGGCATGGCAGTGTCAGAAGAGGGCTTCCACTGTCCACTAGGACAATTGCATTGTCAGTGGTCAACGTGGGCTTATATGGTGAATGTAGCCATTGATCTCAGAGCCCACTTTCCCAGACAAATTTCATCCTCACAGTCAGAATTCAGAGGGCCAGAATTATTCTGCAAGGCATCAGCCTGGTAAATGCATGGTGCATTTCTAGCCTATTTCAAACCATTCTAGCCTACAGTTAGAGGAACTGAATTAGTTCTGTCTTGAGAAGAGGTGTTTTTAAGGGGGGATATGATCAACATGTATCAATACATGAGTGGTTCATATAGTAAATTCAGCGTCAAGCTATTCACCCTGAGGTCATCACAGAGGACAAGGGGGGCACTCTACGTCTGGAGGAAAAGAGATTTAATCTCCAACTTCACAGTAAGAGCTGTGAACATGTGGAATAGACACCCTCAAGAGTTGGTTCTGGCCAGCTAAGTGGATTGCTTTAAAAAAAGGCTGGATTCTTTCTTAGATACATATAATATAACTGGATACTAACATTTATAGGTAAAGTTGATCCAGGGAATATCCAATTGTCTCTCTGAGATCAGGAAGGAATTTTTTCCCCTGCAGGAGCAAATTAATTCATGCTTTGCTGGGTTCTTTGCCTTCCTCTGGATCAACTGGTATAGGATTATAACTTGAACTGGATGGACTTTTGTCTTTTTTTCAGCCAGACTAACTATGTAACTATGTAACTATGTACACAAAGTTGGTCAATCAATATTGATATCGGGGGAGTTTTGCTTCAATTCTAAATGAATCTAATGATATATGTTTATTAAAATACTTCATCACTATTAATATCCAGCATTACTCTCCCTTGTTTTTTTTTTACTCATGCAATGTCCTATGTGTGTATGTTGTCATTCTTGTGTCAGAAAAGCAAAAAATTGTATGAACACATAATTTTCCTTTCCTGACGCTAAAGCAACACAGCATGTAAATCCATCTCCACACTGCTCCAGCTGCTCAGCTCCTCTTCACAGTGGTCTGTGCCTGCTCACAGTGTATATAATCACCATTGTATTCTGGAAGCTGCTTGTTCTTTTCCTTTATGTAACTGAGGATATTATGTTTACAAATAAACTTTGTTACACTTTACTCATTCAGAGTTCTGGTTATCCAAAACAGGGCATACCCCAGTTCCAAGTGCTTACAAAAAAAACAACAAAATAAGACAAAAACAACTAAATACTAGAAAATCTACAATTTCTGGGGAAATTGTGTAAAGTGTTCTTGCCTCCACCTGTAGTCTACAAGTCACACTTTAGCTTTCGTCACTCTGCTGCCTGCTCAGACACCTGGGTTCCTATGGCAACTCACTCTGCCAGGGCAGAGAAAAGCAGTTAAAAACAAACTGCTCCAACTTGCTTGCTCACTTCACTGGTGGTTGCCATCTTCAAACGGTTGTAGTTTAAAAAACTATAAATCCTACACTGAAGAGCTTTATATTGTGAGAATCAAAAACCCCAGACCTACATTTTGATGCATACTATGTCTCTGAAATATTAAAAATTAAGGCACAGTCATAGTTTAGAAATTGCCCTTCAAATTTGAGGTGGCTAGAGTGGAGTTTCAATGAATGTCAATGGGCGGCATGAGTTGCAAACAAATGGTCATATTGTGAAAATTATCAGGACTATGGCTTAGCCGTGGACATTTTTAGTGGCAGCAGGGATAGCTTAACGTTTTGATATAAGATTTGTGCAGGTGGGCTTGAAAATGAGGGAGTGATGGCAGTTTAGAAATCATGTCCTGATTTTTCAGCTCACACTCTAGCTTGTGTCAGCTCCCACTCTAGTTTTGCACATTCCGCCATTCATTCTTATGGGATCAATTTCACCACAAAAAAACGCTGATATTTCGTGAACCATTCGGCGAAACATTCCACAAAGTAATAGCACACCAATTGGAACAATCCGCACGTTTCGGTATATTACTATGTAGTGTAAAAACTGTGGGAGGAGTTAGGGTGGTAAATTTGGCTATAATAATAAGAATATATATCTGAGACATAACAGTAAGTGGTCTTGCCATGCAAGAACACTTAAATAACTGTAAAAACCTGAGTATCCCTCAAGGTGTACAAAGGAAGAGTAATAAACCGAAGGTAGGAAAATGGTGTGCATCCTAACCAAATTGCAGGGGGTACAATAAACCTGTCTAGGTATACCACTTGAAATACAGAAAAAGACAATGGCATAAAGATTTCCCCTGGGGAAATTATTACCTTACAAGCAATTAAAGGGTATATCGGAAGAGCATCTTCAAGTGGTGTCAGACCCACGTAGGTCCACAGTGGTAGTGTCGAAATTAAGCCATAAATGTCCCATATCCTAAGGAATTTGTTAGGGCATCTGCAAGATTAATAGATCTCTTTATACAAAGGGATTCCTAAATTTACAAGAGACTTCCAAAAATTCAAAGTAGAGGCTGTGTATGACTTCCACTTTACTACTATTATCTCAGGTTTTTTTTTATGACAAAAGACCTATGAGAGGGTAGGGGATTGTGTATAGGGCTTTTGTAGAAATATGAACAGACATGTTGACATTTTGATATAGTTTTCATATTTTTACAAACTAATATTTCCATATTTTGTGTTATTCTATTAAACATACTGTAGCTATTTGTAGATTAGTCATTACAGGAAGCTAACACTGGCGCATGCAGTTACTTTGTCTTATTCTTAACAGCTGTATCAGCTACACGGGGACTGCATTGATTCAATATCCAATTGAATTGATTCACTATCCAATCTCATGTACTGTATATAGTATTTATACACTCATTGGCCACTTTATTATTAGATACACTTGTTCAATTGCTTGGTAACACAAATTGTTAATCAGCCAATCACATGGCAGCAACTCAATGCATTTAGGCATGTAGACGTTTAAGACAACTTGATGAAGTTCAAGCCAATTATCAGAATGGGGAAGAAAGGGGATTTAAGTGAATTTGAACGTGATATGGTTGTTGGTGCCAGACTGACTGGTATGAGTATTTAAAAACTGCTGATCTACTGGGATTTGCACACACAACCATCTCTAGTGTTTACAGAGAATGATCTGATAAAGAGAAATTATTCAGTGAGCGGCAGTTTTGTGGATGAAACATGCCTTGTTGATGTCAGAGATCAGAGGAGAATGTGCAAACTGTTTCAAGATGATAGAAAGGCAGCAGTAACTCATGTCAATATGGACCAAAATCTCTGAAGAATGTTTCCAACACCTTATTAAGGCAGTTCTGAAGGCAAAATGGGA